TATCAGGGTTGGGGGAGGGGCGGTTGGCGCCCCCTGGTTGAACTCCTGGTCGAACTCCCAGTCCAGGGGACAATTTGATATTAGCCTTTTATTATATAGGATTACAGGCAACTTATATTGAGCACTCATTATGTTCTAGAGATAAATAGGTGATATATATAATTTCACTTATCTGAAAACCAACCTGATGGGCTAGGTCTATTATGTCCATTGCAAAGATTTGAAAATGCCACTTATAAGTTAAGTGACTTAAGTCAGCTGCCTAAGGAGGAGCTGGGATCAAATCAATGATGTACAGCCTAGGCAATACTTCCCAGCACACTTAGAATTACTAGAGTATGAATCCCTACGATGCTTTGAAATGCAGATTTGAAAGTTGGGACCTAACCTAGGCCAGAGGAAGAGAAAATCTTAACTGGCATCTGAGGAATGTTACCTCCTTTCAATGTCAAGAAAATCTTTCCTGCACAGTTAATGGCCATTTATAGATGCTTTGTCCACGGTGAAGCCACTCCTTCTTGACATCATCACAAGGTAAGTGCAAGATGATGGGTGGATTCTTATGAGTCTAACACTATCTGCCAGTGAATTTTTTGCCTCCCCTGGCATTTCTGCCTTCTTTTTATTGACTTCCTAGATAATTAGATATTTGTTGGTCAATGTGACAACTAGTTATTTGATAGCATCTAGTGTCATTCCAGTTATCAATTTATACTGAAAAATAGAATCTATGCAAACTATAAAAATTTATCAGCCTAACCATCATACTGTCTCCCTGGAGACCTTGGAAGCTGGATTATAATCAGAGATTTGCTTGAAGTGCAGGGAATCAGAACAAAGAGATTTAGATAAATCAAATATTTAATGGTGTCAGGCTGTTTCATCCCATCTTCTCCAGTGGGAGTGGAATAACCAAAGTGCAGTATTCCAGACTGATTCTAAAGGATGCATCAGGATTTCTAGTGACTTTAGGCCAGCCTTGAACAGTATGGACCATATTGAGAAAATATTTTTCTCTTCCATCCTTTCTTTCTTGTCCTTCCT